AGGCTGGCGCAGCCCGGCCCGGCCGCCTCTCCCGCCAGGGGCCTGTCCGCCTGCCTCCATGGCGTTTGCTCCTGGTGCAGTGCCCTTGCTCCTCATCTTCCAAACCTGTCCGGCTAGTGAGCCTTAACGCTGAACTTTTTGGGTCCTGTTTGCTTCTGGAGTATGGTCTCTCATCTGTCCAAAAGCTTTGGTAGAGTGTTTAGAGCCGAACTCAGCTGTAAAGACCGCTACAGTGAAAAGCCAGCATGCTATCATTGCACTTAACCGTTTTATTGCGAAGCATACTTTGGGATCAGCTTTGTGTCCCGTTCAGAGAGAATGCCATGGATTTTTAAAAGCTGTAGCTTGACTTGTGGCCTTCGGGTTACACAAGTGTTTCTTTAGCAAAAGCCCTAAAGCTGTCCCTACGGCACACAGCTTCCAAAACAGGGGCCGCAAACTGGACTCCAACAAACGTGGTAAATAGTGATAGCACAGCCTGTACCTACTTCACATGTTTAGTTATTTACAGAAAAATATCCAATATATGTTGTGCCGTGAACTGCTGATCTAGCATGTTTTGCAGACAGCAGATCATTTAAATACGTATGTTTAATGGCTTATTTATCTTCAAACCAGTTTGGGATGAAATTTTTGTTTCCCATGATTTTCGGCTGGTCTCTTACTTTGCCACATTTCACCCAGAAATCTCCCTTAGCATTTTGTTACAGTCTATAATATGATGCGACTAATGTAACCCATGTGGTACAACACTGTCTGTCGGGGGGGGGGCGCGGTTTAAACGGATATTCAAAAACACTTGTTAAAAGAAATCTTCACAGCAAGAAATATCTTACTTGGTCTGAAGGAGCTTTATCAGTCACACCTCTTTACTTGAAACATGAGGTGAAACGCTGTCTCTTTCTCAAAATTGTGCCTAAAACCAATCTGATTTTAAGAGCAGCTTTAAAATATGCTTCCTTTCTTTTACTGGCCTTACTGTTACAGCCCATAAACATTTGGGGTCAAGAGCTCACTTCCTTAAAATATGCCAAATGGGATTAGTCTGGAACTTCTAAGAAGTAAATATTAGATGGAAACTGATGTTTGTTTATTTCGTATGGAGGGCATCATGATTCTCATTGGTAGCTTGTTGTTCACATAATTAGTCCCATTTAAGTCACTGCAGGATTTTTATTGCCTGTCACACACTGCGGGTTTGTTACAGTAAATGCTAAATGACAAACATTAATATCTTTAAAAAATATAAAAAAAACTTAGAGACTCAACCTCCAAATGACTCCCCATCCCATTTTTTTCCTCTGTGCCCCAGTAAGTCCTTTTTTCCCCAAAATGAGCCCTGGGAAAACAAACACATCTCGCCACATGAGGTTAGCATTGCCAGATCAGTTGGACTCACGGGGATGGAGCTTTGACGAGCAGTGGCCGGCTGCGCCTTGCTGCCGGTTTCCTGCTCCGCTGCTTGCTTAACCTGAGAGGCTGGTTTTACAGGCCAGCAGGCTGCAGCACTCGTGGGGTAAACTGCATGCCGCAGCTCAGAGAAGTTGCCGGTGGTGCTTTGGAGCACATCGACTCCAGTGCCGACACGTGCTCAGTGGGCAGGAAGCCTCAGGGGACGAAGGTCAGTGCAGCTCTCATCCCTGTGCCTGTCCTGCCTCCCTCCAGGTGCGGAGCTCAGCTGCTGAGCACCCTGAGAGCAGCTGGTGACAGCTCAGTGTGACAATGGGTCGCGCAGGAACAGCAGCAAAGCTGTACGCGTGCCCTGAGCGAAGGCTTCGGCGCCGGACAAAATCAAGCAGATAACAACGTTGGTCCAGTGGAAGTAGGGCAAAAGTCGGCTGGTCAGCTGGTAAGAAACATATTTGCAAATGTAAAGTCGTCAGCCTGTTTAGAGCATATTTGAACACCAAAATGTTTACAGCGCATGAAGAACTGCCCCAAGGAACTGAAGATCCGGGCTGCAATGTTTAGAAGTATAATTGTGCTTGGTAATGAAGGGTTAATTCAGCTTCTGCCTTTCTTAAACGTGCATTTCTTTCACTGGGGAGGCCAAGTATTTAGGACCCTCCCACACTGGAAGCAAAATTATGCTCAGCATGCCTAAACATGTTTGTTGCTTGCAGGGTTTTTACTTTATTTCCTTGAACAGTAGCAGCAGAGACATTTTGTCTGGGAACCATGTTAGAAGAAGAGGAAAATGACGGGTCCCATCCATTTCACAAATGCAGGCGTGTTTGGAGGTCCTGTTTCTGCTGAAAGAAAATGATGGTCATCAACTTTTGTTCTCTAGCTCAGAGCTTCGTTCACAAAATGCAACTGTCTCTCATTAGCTCCGCAAAGTCAATCTGCAGGCTGTGGACAAGTGTGTTCCAGAAAGGTTCCCTGATCCCGCCAAATTCACGCGAGAGAAGGGAATTCTCTCCCGTTGTTACAGCATGCAATACAACACAACTAATCAGTTCTCAGAAAAATCATTCTTCTTTGCCTTGCTAGTAAAAACCGCTGGGACTTGCTTCTCCGCTGCCATGAGCTTTGTGGAAGCATTTACACCTGTGAAAACCAATGAAAAAAATAGTTATTAAATATGCTGGAATGGATTTAGTCATGTCTCCATGCAGCTTGCACAGAAGTAAGTGATGGTGCAGGACTGGAAAATCAAGGTCTGTTTATTGAAAGCAATCCTTCCACTCCCAGGGTCAGGCCTGTGGTTTGGAAGATGACACAGACAAGGTCTCAGATGAAAAACAGGTTGTGCTTGTACTTTTGAAATCTTCATTATAATGTGTTCTTGTGAGGATTAACATTCTGTAGGAAGTCTTCTGTTTTATACAGTTAATCTGACGCTTGCCAAGTCATAGAAGAAATTGTGTATGAAAATTAATTTTGTTCCTCGTTGTTCTATTTACTTTGGAGGTCACTTCTCCTTTCCTCTTTATGCGATATAAGCAAAACCCACCGGAGCAGAGCTTTGATCTATAGGCAATCACAAACCTCGTTAAAACTAACAGGCATGCTGGCCATGCTTCGTTCAGGAAGGAGCAATTAAGTTCTTTTACGGCGTCAGAAAGCTAAAAACTAGAAACCGCTGCCCACGGCACAGGGCTACATGGCCAAGCGCTAGGATGAGCTAACTCGTATGAGCAAGCACTAATTTGGGGAAAGTCAGAGAGGTTTCTCCAGGGACTGCCTGCGAATGCGGCAGCGAGCGAACAGATTGGTTGCAGCTGTGTTTGCCTGTGTGCATGTCCGGGACCGGAAAGACCGTGCGAGAGCCAGCAGACAGTGGGAGAAGCAGTGGTGCATGGCCCTGAGAAAAAGCCAAGGGACAGCTTCTTCTGGGCAAGCATCCTGGCGAGAGCAGCAAACTTGGACTGCCGCACAGTACTCCCTCCCGTTCGCTTCCTCTGCGTGCAAGGAAATGGGACGTGGCTGTACATTCTTTGTAAATAAACAGGGTTACACTAAGGAGATAACTGAATTCATCATTGATCTCCTCCCCCCCCCCCCCCCCGGG